ACTGATGGCGGAGCGCGGTTAACTTCGTATGGAGAAGATGGCGAGGAGGGCGCACACGGAAGTTGGATTTGAGGGCGGTTGAGAAGAAGAACAAAGTGTTCCACCCACCGAGACATTTTTCTCTGCGCATCGGAGATGAGCTCATTGGAGGCGCTGCGCAGCACAGAGTGGGTGACCTGGTTCTTTCCCTATGCTGATCGAATAAGACGGAAGAGGGTCGCCGTGTTGCCAAGGTTGGCTGCTGTCTCCATTTTAGTAGCCATTTCATTCCAGTAGTTGCATCTATCGTTTCTGGCTGATCGTGTTGCTTGTCTTCTGAGATCGCGATAAGCAGAGGATTGAGCTAGACGGGCCTCTCTGGCCGCATTAGCTAACTGGATGGTGTGACTGGATATCCACTCCTTCAGACGACGTGGTCTGGTGCCTAGTGCGTGTAGGGCAGCTTTTTGTATCGATGACTCCATCCTGGTCCACTGAGTTTCAACCGAGCTCCCTGTGTTACCTTGTGTACTGAGAGGGTCGTTTGACAGCTGTGCAGTTATCATGTCCATTAGTGTCTGGCATTTCTCGCTATTCGCCAGTGGAAGCACATCTAGGCGTTTCGAGGGGACGGACTTCCTGCGAGTTGTTAGATGGAGTCTAACTTTCGCGCGAACTAGTACGTGGTCCGCTTTGGTTCCCGCATTCAGCCCCGCGATAGGAACGACAGTCTTCAAAGGAAGAAACCCATCGTGGACGGACGAGGCCGTAATCTATTTGATGTGCCGTTCGACCGTCGTTAGAGTACCACGTTAGAAGATTCTTTTTGGATGTTGAAATCGCGTGTTGGTAATACACAATAGATTTTAATCGGCAATGCTGAGTAGTCTGTCGCCATTCTCGCAGCGCTGGCCCAGGCCAAACCTCCCTGTGATGTGCTTCTTGGCCTCTGTTTGTGAACCAGTTCGAGCGTTCCAGTCCCCTGCTATGACAAGTACATCCCGTTGGGGTATTTCATTAACAAGCGATTGAAGGCTGCTATAGAACTCATCTTTGACGTTGTTGTCAGATGGGATAACTGTGAGGTTTACTGGGTGACCCTTGAATCGGGCTACTGCAATCGTAGAGGATATTGGTTTCCATAAAAGCAAAGCGCTATTAGCCCGATGGCTTAAAGCAAGTGCCACTCCGTGTTGACCCGACTTTTCGTTGCCGTTGTGGTACAGCCAGTAATGGCTATCAATACCGGGGATTTTTATACATTTGGAGCCGGAGCCCGCCAATCTGACTTATGAGAGGCAAGCAATATCTAGCTGATAGTCATGCAGCGCGCGTATTGTTAGTGCCTGACAGGCTATAGTGTACAGACAACGTTTGTCGAGATCAAATGAGTGTTTGGCATTAGTTACTTGGAGGAACCAAATTTCATAACTGTAGTGCACCGTTGCAAGGTTCAGTGAAAGGGGTTGGTCTTGCCCGAGTTGGATATTTCACGGATCTATCAATGCCAGTTCCACTTGCGTCCCGGTCAGCGTTGCGGTACTGACGTTTTCAGTTTAAGCAACCATTAAGCATGCATTGCCGTGCGACGATTTTGGTTGCTGTCTTTTGGCTGCCCATTTGGATGAGCAATAGGAGGAAAAAAGGAAAGTTGAAAGTAGGATCGAAGAGAAAATTGAGAAGTTCAGTGGAGTAGTGATGCAGAGAAATTGAGAAGATGCGGTACTGACGTGTGGATAAGGCATTCTAGTTAGCTTCTCAGATGGGTTTCTAAAAGATAACAGCCAAAAGAAGAACAGGAAAATATTCGTTCAATCGTTACTGAAAATAATCCGATCCACTGATTAACTTCACACTAGTCTATTGGCCGATTCTACGCACCACTGAATTAGGGTTTGTTTTCTACCCCGGGCCACCCCGCGACTTTGTCCATTGGGCACACACACACACACACGTGCGAAAACCGCTATGTGAGCCGGAATCCATCAGCGTTGTGAACTTCATACGAAATGCACGACTAATCCGAAAAGCGAAATCAACACGATTTCTGCCTGTAGTATTTACTTTGTCGTTCCGTCCGGTTTCTCACGGTATACGGTGGCTGTAATTAATTCATGCATCATTCTCCCTTCACATATGGTGAAATTTTGACACATTTTGCAACTAAATTTTATTAAGTTTTGCGGTTTCTCGGATTGGAATGTATTTGGGTCTACATTTTGATGTAATGGTGTCCTTCTTTTCATGAGCGTGATGGTTGTTTCCCACTCCCTATACTGTGCTGATCATTGTTTGACCTTCCGACCACACTGGTAGTTTTTTTCAGGTAGACGAAACCGGATTCAATTCGAATTACCCTGTCAACCATAATGTCACCGAGTTTTCCTCCAAATTGGTTCTAAGACTGCGGGGATGGTGCAATACGAATACCATCCGGGCTCGCAGAGCTCAGCAGCTTTGACACGAGTGCACAGCAGGACAGTCCCTGTAAACTGATCGACTCGAACCTCGACGTGTAACCACTAGGAGAAGGTTTTCATTGTGGAGATTTAAAACAAATATGCGAAACAGAAGGAACAGATCGTCTTGAATTGGTAGATGAGTGTAGATGTGNATGTGGGCACACATTCACATGCAGAATGTCACGGTTTACTAAACGTTATCACAGGGTTTACGTTATCGTTGCAGCCAGTGTGGTAAATTTGACAGTAATTACTGTATTCTATTCGCTGTTAATATTCCATAAACCATGCCCTAGAAAATTGTTCCATTTATAGCCACCACACAATCCGGTCTCCATTCTCTCTCCGCCGAAGTAGTAACTATGACCTGTTGTTACTCGGTGGTTGTTCGTGTCTCCGTGCTAATCTTGGTAATTTACACCACCAGGTTCATCGTGACTTATCATTACTGAATCATTTGATAGTGATTCTAAAGTGCTATCAAACGTCTTGTATGTTTTCTCTGCTGGTCTTTCCATTCGTCCTTCTGCTCAAATTATATTTACAATCCAACTCCATTGACAGACAGCGTGAGAACGAGACACTTGAACAGCCGAGATTCTACCCTGGTGAAAGTATACGAATAGTTCATTTCCTTCCCCTTTTATTTCTCTTGTTCACCCGCTTCCTGGCGTAGTTTTCAGTTCACTATCTGCGCAGTTTGAACTCGTACCTTAAACAATTTTACGCTTTGAAACAACTTGTCCGGAATATAACTGGTGATACGAGTATGGATTTCTCATTGCTTTGTGGCAATTTATGCTTTGCTCGCGTGACTTGCATCTCCGTGAGCATCTATCACAACAGCCGAATAGCTACTGGTGCAACCGTTCGCCAGGTACCGTACGAAATACAACTGAAGTTGGGAAATACTCGCAATAGAGAGAGAATTACCTCATAGAGTGAAACAGAATCTTGACGTGCAGGTCGCGGACTGGGGTTGGTTTTGAAAGAAACTGGGTCAGTATGATGTACCAGCTCATCCTAGTGGTGTCTTTTGAAGTTCCGTAAACGATATCTGGTGGCCTGGTACAGAGATTTTCGAAATCTGATCAAGAATTTTGGCGATTCAACCGCCAAAAATCTGCATCGCTCGCCTGTGCTGCGAATATCTACAAGCCCCTCAATTTTTTTGGTGTTCGTTTGTTCTTAAATTCTCATCTATTAGAGATCTTCTGTGACTTGAAACCTGTCAAAATTTCTCATCTATCAATCATCATATGAGATCGTTTACTGAAACCAAAATTTTAGTTGTTTCTTATTCGTTATCGTAGAGTCCTACAGACAGGAAAAACGAAAGGAAACGATTAGATATGCCTGATTTATCCCCGATGTTTTCACAACCCACAACAATGGTCCCGTAAGCGTCTTTGTGTTATCTGCTTGGGGTATCTTTTGACGCTAGGTTCATAGCACGATGCCGTCGTTTCATTACTGATCGATTCGAAACTGGATATTCCTTTTACCGTACAGATGGGCGATTGTTTTTCGTCGTCATGGTGCTTATCGGGTCTGTCGAAAAAGCGTATTTTCTCAGGTAGTGAAGAATGTGATCTGTACTGTTGTCTTATGGAGTTGCCGTTTTCTTTCTCGAGAATCCCACTTATGTCAGTTTTACACTGTTGCAAGTCCAATATTCGTGCGGTATTCCACAATCTTTTCGCCACGAACTTTCATTCGTTTCTCGGTATCATGTGCCTTCTTTCCCCGTGGGACACATCATTAAGTTCGTCTCTGATAGAAGCAACGCACGAACTAAAGTCTAGAACTTTATTTCTCATTCATATCACAAAAAATCTGATTCTTTTCATTTCACATTGATAATTCTCATGTAACTGCGTTTTCTTCACTGTATCTGACACATAGGCGCCAAATCTAACGCGCGTTCGAACTCAAAGATCCTCCTACAGTCGAATTCGTCCGAGAGTAATCACATTCTGGAATCGAAGACATGGGCCCAAATTGCGGATAACTTGTCTGAGAAACGGAAGGAACAGATGGCACAGACCATAACCAGCCTGGAGCATCAGTTGGATCAACAGCAAAAATTAAGTGACATGTATCGGGAACAGGTGAGTTCATGTGTACCTACTTGTATTTTTGTGTTGATCCATTCTGGATACAAAATCTCCTTGATATGCACCTTAAAGTTACTTTTATTGGAGGAAAGTTTTTTTTCAAATTGGAATAGTCCTATTCAGAGCATGGGGACAATTAGATGATTGCGGCCACGTTAATTCAAACGCCAGATGCGGACGATCACAAATAGGTGATTTTAAAGGGGCCGGAAATGCTTTGAGGTAACCTGTGACTGTCGATCAAGGATTCAAATAGTCTAATTAAAATTTGCGTTACAATTTCCTTTTAGTTCAGAATGATAAAGGTTATGGGGGCGTATGAATGAACGCATATCTTTTTCCTACGGGGGGTGATTTCTTCAGTTTTTGTCTTCACGTAACACTCAGATATCATCCGTCTCTGCGAGAAGCTGCACATGAGTAAACACCGGCCATACTCCGGTAACCCGCTCAGCAAACTAGCTTCATAACGTTGAGGGTTGTGTAAAGTTTAAAGTTGCATTCTCAAATAAAAGGGTCGACTGGCTCTGGGGTGACATCTAGTATCCCACTCCTGTACATCTACCGTAGATATCTGAGGAGTTCCTTAAAACATGGGTAAACTCGATCAGATATTGAATGCTCAGGCCTACGTTCGGTCCATGGAATTCGACTGTAGAATTGTGACTAAATGGCCATGCGTGCCAGACCTGCAAAAGCCATCCGAGATTACCAGGAAGGCGACTCATCCACTACAGCAAGGGGTTGTGAAAACGTAAAGTTGGATGGATCTCTTTGCGCACGTGCACGGTATACTTTCCGTATGTTGACCATAGTGGTTCCATTCATTTTCCCCTCACGCTCTATCGTGAGGTTGTGTTTCAGATGAAGTGGAAAATTGTTTCTTTGTGCAACGTTTCACCAGTATCGTCAAAATTTGTTCACTTTCTGTGTGCACAGTGATACTGAAAAACAAACAGATAAGCAACTGAGAAACTTTGACCTAGGAGATATCAAACTGTTCGCATTGCACGCGTTTAAACTGTTTTGGTTTAGCACTGTTTTTCAAGGTTTTCCAAGGACCATTTTGGTGCTGAGGTTTTCCTTAGTGTGATGCGTTTTGCAGATAAGGTTAAATGGGTCAGTCCGAGAATATCAATCAAGGGTATATAAAACTTAACCCCGTGACTGTTTCACGTTCATGCATTCAATCGGATATTTTTACAAACAAACTGCGCATTGCAGGGTTTTGGTCAATCATCCCTAGTGGACTGGTTGAAAAAAATCATGCCACTCCCTTATTCATCGTTCGTAAACTAGGTTTTTCTTTCGTTCAAACTGTGCATTTGAGCGTATCGAATCTCCGGACTTAGTTTTTCCCTGTTTAAATCTGCTGTTTGCGTCAGGCCTGTTTCGGATTGATGAACTTGCACTCGGGCGTAAAAAGTGAATTTCGTGGTTTGCACCATTTCATCTGATCCATGGTTCAATGCCTATTCATCGGTACACAGACACCTGATGTTATTGAAACTGCTTACCTTGACGTCATCCTACACTATTGTAATGGTGGCCTAGTGATTTAGTCACGATCACCGCCTTGTTTTGGACCCTACGGTCTGAGATTCGAATCCCGTCATCGCCACCCAACTTTGTTGGTAGGCATCTTTGCTATCGTCCGGTTCAATGGCATACCTATGCTCATAGGGCCTTATGTGATTCATCACTCCTAGTCCCATGGCTTAGATTGCCGGTTTCCATCACTGATTAGCATTTTTACGGGAGTTCTTCTGTCTGGTGTTCATCATAGGATAATGTAAAAGTGTCATAAAAAAGTTGTTATGCAATTTAGCCGTTATTGTTTACCTAGTGAATAACGAGTTAGTAGTCGACAACGCTTCAATTTGGAGCATCCGAAAGGTACGCTCCTGTGACCAATGGAGGTTTTAGAGGGATAACCAAACGACTGATATGCGACTGGGTTGTCGTCAGGAAACTGTGATTTAATTTTAATCATCCCGACCAGTCGGCTTGTCAACATTCGTCAAGGACTTCAAAATCGTACACATACGCATTTGACACGTTTGCCGGTTAATCATATTTTTTTGATGGCTTCTCTTTCTTGCAAAACAGCGATCAAGACCATGATTTCTTCCTTGTTGTCAGTTGTTTTGGTGAACACTAACCTGTTTTCAGTCTGGGTGCAATTTATTATGATTTAGTCTACAAACAGAAGACCCGCTCTTCTCCGCATTCTCTGTTCACTCAAAACGGTGTGTGAGAGAGAAAGCAGACAATAGTTGCCAAATTTGCACAAGTAAACTTTGTCAGTTGTCAGTATATATTGTTTCCCTAATTTTTTGACCCCGAACTGTCTTCATTTACTTTTCTAGTGGGAACAAGTT